ATCCATCCCAGTGAAGCGCTCTGGACAACTCAAAAGCTTGAATGTCATTCTGCGTTATTTTGGTTGGTCCCAATAAAGAAATGTATCACATGCCATTTGGGTTTTATTATAGCAGAATCTCCAAATCTAGTCTACCATGATTTAATTCACTTGGTTATTAGCATTTATGATGCTGCCTGTCCATCTTGCATGACTGGTAAGAGTCAGTGGATTCAAGGTTCAAAGAAGAGATTCAATGGTGTCTTTATGCATCACTCTTATTAACAATACTGTTACAGAAGATCACGCTGTGACTAAGGGTCCTTTTATCTCCACCATGGCATCGATATCCTTGCAAAGACCTTCAAAATGACGGTGACATCCACACACCCATGAGTATTTCGTTTCTGTGCCATGACTCAAAAGAAGATTACAACAAAAAAAATACCACGGGGTGTTGTTCTTTAAGGACAGGAACAATTCTGAAGCAATATTCCAGGAGAGGGAGGGAGTGGAGTCACCCCAGAGGCTATCTGGAATTACAAGGCAAGATTTAAGAGAGGTTCTCCCCCCCCCTCTAATTACCAATGTAGAGTTTTGCTGACAGTTTAGTCTGTGTGTGAATATGAGGAGGAATTGAGCTGGCGTGAAAATGATGCTTCAAAAAGCATGTCTTTACAAGGACACGATCAAAAACAAACCTCTTAAAATTCAACACAGGGGGGAAATAGTTGCAACTATACGCTAAATCTATTTGTAAATAGAGTTGAATATATATATTTTTTGTTGCCACACAACTCTTACTAAGGCAACAAACTAATCTGGGTTGATCAAACTAAATCCTCCTTTGTGGTTCTGAATCGGTTGTAGTTCTTCTCATTTTTTGTTAAGAAGCCAAACTTCTACCCCCAAGTGGAAGATGGCTCACGTGTGCTTCCCAAAAGATATACTGGAGTTTGGTGTTAACCAGATCCACCATATGATATGATAATTTATGCAAGGACCGCCTCTCCTGTTATGCCCCCCCCCCCGATCCTTCCATTCCCCGTGGCTGGCCCTCAGGTAACTTGTTTAACTTCAACCAGAATGAGGGCTTTTTCTGTCATGGCCGCAACATGGTAGAACACTCTGTCTAAAGAGACGCATGCCCTATGGGACTGGTTTAGGTTCCGCAGGGCCTGTAAGATGGAATTATTCTTCCAGGCATTCCACTCAGGCAATCTTACTGGGCTTAGTATCAGCTTCTCAGCTTCTCTGATTGTCATGCCAGGGTGTTTACATTGTTTTATAGAATATTTGTATTTTTATTTAGGTTGTTAGTCGCTCCAAGACCCAATTGCCAGGGAAGGGGTGGGACAAAAATCGAATGAAATAAAATAAATAAGATGCCCAATTGATGCCACCAACAGAAACGGAAAGAGCTTCGCAGGAAAAGGTCAGAGACTGTTATCTCCGCCAGCCTTTCAGCCCCACCGTCTACGATTTCCCCCCTCCATATTCATCTCTGTATCTCTGCCTAACAAAGACAGCACTTCAGGAACCAGAGAAACTGGGCCCCAGTCCATGAAACCTTGTGCCATGGTGCCTAAGTTGCCACAAGGCCCCGTTTTTTATGAGCTGATACATCACGTAAAACATTTCCACAAAACAAAATACAAGAAAAGCCTGCTCTGAGAATCTTTCTGCCCTTTAAAGAAGTGCCAGCCCAAATATTTTATGTGTACCTGTTAAAGTCACAGAGTGCTAGATAGGCAGACGTATCGGAGAAGCTTCCCTCAGTGCAAACAATTATCCATTGCTGTTGACCCTTCCATTGGGCTGAATTAAAAACAACAACACAACACCCTGAAAACCTTTTTAAAAATAATGGCCTGGTAGGTTCCTGGGGGGGGAAAGAAACAATAACACTGTTCGTTGTTGACCCTCTCCATCAGGCTGAATTAAAAAAAAAAAACACAACACCCTGAAAACCTTTAAAAAAATAATGGCCTGGTAAGTTCCTGGGGGGGGGAAAGAAACAATAACACTGTTCTTACTTTCTCCCTATTTGGAGCAGTGGCATGCTTTGTTAATATTCTCTTCGTCTCAGTTGTTAGTGTTGTAAGAGGTTGCCAGCCTCCAGGCAGGGCCTGGAGATCTCTCGGAATTACAACTGATCTCCAGAGAACGTCAGTTTCCTCACTGAGGTCCCTCCTCTCCCCAAACTCCATGCCCCCTTGGCTCCACCCCTAAATCTCCAAGTTTTTCCCAAACCAGAATTGGCAACCCTAAGTTATGACAACTCTTTGAGTTGGCTGGCTTCAGAAAACAACTCCATACACCCTGTTCAGAGGTCTGGGTTGGGATTCTCCCAACTGAGGATGGAAATAAGATGCATATTCACCTTAACGTTGGCTGAGCCAAGGATCAGACAAGAGTTCAAACAGAGAAGGGCTGGTTAGAATAGAGTCTCGCTTTGTCTCCTCAAAACGGGCAGGTGTAATGTCTGCTACCAGAACAACTAGACCAGCAGGGAAGCCTTAATCTAGAGACCCTTTCTGACAGTTGTCTCACTATGGGGGCCAATGGTACGTTGCCCTCAGTACCTGCTGCTCTGGGTTTGGCAAGACAGTGGCATGAGACCTTCTCTAGGACAACATCCCACCATTCGCTTTACAAAGGTTTGCAAGGAGGCGTTGGGCCCCTCCTGTCCTGGTGCTGAAGGTCCAGTGTCACTTCCGCCTGTCCCACCTCAGCAGTTCCCACCATTCGCTTTGCAAAGGTTTGCAAGGAGGCGTTGGGCCACTCCTGGTGCTGAAGGTCCAGTGTCACTTCTAAAAGTTAAGGTTTCCCTTGCTCGATGTCAGACTCCCGTAGCATCAACGAAGCACACACTTGTAGAAGCATATTCACCTTAACGTTGGCTGAGCCAAGGATCAGACAAGAGTTCAAACAGAGAAGGGCTGGTTAGAATAGAGTCTCGCTTTGTCTCCTCAAAACGGGCAGGTGTAATGTCTGCTACCAGAACAACTAGACCAGCAGGGAAGCCTTAATCTAGAGACCCTTTCTGACAGTTGTCTCACTATGGGGGCCAATGGTACGTTGCCCTCAGGACCTGCTGCTCTGGGTTTGGCAAGACAGTGGCATGAGACCTTCTCTAGGACAACATCCGCCTGTCCCACCTCAGCAGTTCCCACCATTCGCTTTGCAAAGGTTTGCAAGGAGGCGTTGGGCCACTCCTGGTGCTGAAGGTCCAGTGTCACTTCTAAAATAAAGGTCTCCCTTGCTCGAGAGCTAGTCCTATCTGACTCTAGGGAGGGGTGCTCATCTCTGTTTCCAAGCCGAAGAGCCAGCGCTGTCCGAAGACATGTCTGTGGTCATGTGGCCAGTGTGACTAAATGCCGAGGTGCACGGAATGCTGTTACCTTCCCACCGAAGCAGTACCTATTTATCTACTTGCAATTTCTTGCTTTCGAACTGCTAGGTTGGCAGGAGCTGGGGCCAGAGACAGGAACTCACTCCGTCATGCAGCACTAGGGTCTTGAACTGCTGAACTACAGACTTTCTGGTATGTAGCTCAGCATCTTAACCTGTACGCCACCGCGGCCCAGTGTCACTTCTAGTTCATCTGTAATACAACCAAATGAATCAGCTGCAGTGCAAAGCTACCCAAGAGCCATCCCTGGGGTAGCTATTCCCATTACCCTTTGGGAGTTAGCTGCCTTCCCTGGATCGTCAGAAGGCAAATCTCCAAGTGAGTGGGTGCAGGGCCCCAATGCAAATATGCTTAACTGCGCATGCACAAACACTAAGGCATCATGCAATGCACAACCTGACATTTCACACACTACTGCTGTGGGGATATTTTGTAACTGTCCTTAACACACAATAAAAC